CTCTTAATAAATATATAACCTTACATAAAATAGTCTTTGACTGTAAGTAACTAATAAACCCAGTGTGGTTGACCCCCAACCCTTCTAATGATTAATGGTCTGGCCAACCTTTAATTATTAGTTGGGAGCCCTTTTAATTATTCAGATATGTCTCAAGGGAATGCCTTTGGGATATAATTAGCTAATTAAACTAGTGACCATAAGTCAGTGAGTAGGCTGTGTGTCATATAAAAGTAACTTTGACCATAAGTCAGCAGGTAGGCTGTGTGTTGAATGTAAAATAACCTGTTAAATAGGAAACTCGGATTGCACACTCACAATACATTGGAAGCTTATCTAAGAAAAGAAAAGAATGCCTATGAAATTTAACAAGAAGAAAGAAAAATAATAAATGTTGGAAAAAGAAAGCATCATGATGATGCATTGTTACATAATAAAATGCAAAAATCTTTGGACAACAAAATCTAAAAAAACAACTTACTGCCTATTTTTATCTTCCCCAGTAATATTTCCGAAAACAATACTACATGTTCCACTTGGAATTGGTTTCTTTTTTTTTTGCTTAAAACTTACTATATTAATAAGTAATCATGACCAAAAAAGAATGTTTGAATTGTAATAATATAAAAGAAGGTTTAGAAATTAATTGATGAAGTGAAGAAAATGAGATCACCAATTTTGTTGCTGAGAATGCTCTGAAAATTTGATTCAAAAAAGAATTAGATGAAAATACTGCTGACCAATAAAAAAATAAAAATTATCATTAGAGAAACCTTAAAATAAAGAAATTTTGATTGGCATTTTAGGACAAGAATTATTAATCAAAAAGGCAGTAGTAGATGAGAAAGCATTACTATATGGTGCCCTCAATGCAAAATTATGTTGGACTGGGATGTTACCACTTATGAAGTTAGTCAAGGATATAAATGCTTGCAATGTCATAATTTCCACCAAAAAATTGCAAGAGGTAAACAAAATGAACACTTTACTTGAAAAGATGATAATACTCCTAGTTATATTTGTCCAAAAAGTGCAGAAGGGAATGAACTAATTTGCTATTTGTGTGACAAAATGGAACTAAATAAAAAAGGAATGCTTAAAACTCAAGTCTCTGAGCTAGGGAAAAGTGTAACTGCTGGGGTGGTTTTAAGGCAAAATTCTAAAGGTCATGTAACATTGTGTACCAAACACCATGCTGACACCTTTGAAGAAATAACTAGGCAAGAATGATCAGATATTTTACCTGTACTTAGAGGTGTTGTTAAAAAGGTTGTCAAGGCTTATAATCCAAAAGGCTACAGAGTTAGTATACCAATACCACCAATTGGCACCCAAAATTCACCCCATTTTATATGCGGGTGGTCCCTAAATACAAAGAAGGTTATGGAAGTGTAGGAATCAAAAGTATATTGGGGAAAAGTTTTCCCCAGTCCAAGGAACCTGAGACCAAATTGGAGAAGTCTGCCAAGAACTTATACAAAAAATGAAATCTGCATCATTTTACTATCAAAAGTGAACTTAATGAAAAAGTCACACAATTATGAAGAAAAGCAGAAATTCTTCAAGTTATTGTGAAACTTATCCCATATCTGAATCCTTGATATTACTTTTTCCTAGATTCACATTGCAAAAATGATGAAGGCAATTCAGACCCCAAAAAAACAATCAATTTCTAGGCACTATGAAAGATGAATGAGTTGCAGAAAAAATAAGAAATCCTGAAGCTTACTATCAAAAATGGAATAAAATTTCCAGGGCTCAATTAGAAAACCAACTTAATAAGAACAAGAGAGAGAAAACTTATTGAATGGTTGGTTGTGGAATACTATTGTGTCTTCTAGTTATTTTAGTTATTAAGACAGTGAGGATTAAAAAACATAATAGTTAATTATGTCATTTTTATTTTAGTATAAAAATTATTCAATTACATTTTGTGCTGGCTTGAGGCAAGTAATATCTTTTGTATTTGTCTTTCACAAATGGATGAATATTCTGGTAAAGATATTCTTGTCTTTTGTAATCCAAAGTAAGTGGTGTTAACACTAAAATAGGCAAAGCTCTAATCTCTTCAAAAATATCTGCTTTTTTGATTTTCAATAAATTGGATTCAATAAAAGGTCCATTAGCAATTTCCTGAACTTTGACCACACCAAAGTTAGATGCTTCAAAAAGAAAATGTTGATATTTCTGTATGCTTGGTAATTTCTTAAAATAAATTCCCAAAATAGCTTTAATATCTAAATATTGAAATCCTTTTCCACCTTCATAACATTGTGCTTTATTTAACCCAGCTGAACTAGATTTTCTTATTACATCTACCACATGATCCAGACAATTTACTCTTGTTCTTCTATAGAGTTTTTAATCATGCCAAAATTGCCATCACACTTGAATTTAGTATGTCCAGGAATTGTGAAATTCAATTCAATACTTTAATAATAACCACAAATTACCAAATATAAATAAAATCAAATTGTAGTGTTATTTTATTCTGCCCACCAGCATTACCACAAGTAATGCTTTTCATCTTTATTCAATTTCTTGATTCCATCAAAAATCATGCTAAGAGTGCCACTGGGGCCTTTTCCTATAATTTCATCTTCATTAAGAACACAATTAATTTGTTCTCTTACTGCTTCATCTTGAATACTGAATAAATGAACTTTACATAGACTAAGGTAATAGATTTTACTTACTTGTTGATCTAAATGTGGCACATGAACATTTTGGGCTCAATCATAACTATAATGAGCAGTAGCATCAATACTGCAATATTGTGTTTTACCTTAAATTTATATTTATCAGGATTATTTTTATCACAACCTCTAACTTTGCATGGACCATTATTTGCATTCATTTTGGCAATTAAAATTTGATTTGATTGTTAAAATTTGATGTTAAAATTTAATTTTATTTTATTTTGATTTTAACTTCAAACTACAAGTCCTATATATATATAAAATTATTACTATTACTGTTAAAAATTAATGAACCAGCCGAATGTTTTTTTTTGTGATCTCTGATCGGCCATGACATTTCTATTTTTAATTTTTCGCAACCAATTAGAAATTTGTTTTGTGTGATATTTCGGATTTGATTGTCACAAAATTTAACCAATGAAATTCCAAGAAATAGGATGTCCATTATGCTTATTGTGGTGTTTTGTTATTACCAAACATATCAGGTCATCTCAGGAAAAGTATTGGTAAAATAAACAACATCAATGTCACCATCATTACAATCGCCATCAATAAATGATGATAATCCATCAAATGAATCACATTTGTCATCATCACCTTCAGCATTGCCATCAAATGAAATTCACAACCATGATACAAGGTTAGAATTACCAAAAGAACCATTACACAACCATGATACACAATCAGAATCGCCAAAAGGACAATTAGACAACAACGATACAAAATCAACAAATGAACTGCTGTCCAATGATAGTTTAGAATCATTTTCACCACAACAAACCAATAATAATAATCAAGAATTACCAGTTAGTGAACCAAATAATGAACCAAAATCAAAATCACCCACTGTAAATAACAATGGTAATAAAAGTGATTGTGATTGTGGAAAAAGAAGAATGGATGCAATTGAAGATAGTCTTGAAAACTTTTTCATAAAATATATTAAATTGAATTAATTTATTATTTTATTTTTTTTACAATGGATAATGTAATTAATTTCATCATGCGTAACTATGTAAATATTCCTCCATCAAAGTGCGCCTGTTTTTCCAATTATAATAATAATAAATTCTTTACACACCTCTAAATAATATACCATTAATAATAATTATAAACATTTCTTTACATGAAATTGATATTTTTGTAAGCGGGAAATTATTTCGCCAAATTGTTGTTAATTTCATCACATTTGGCGAATTTGGTAAAATGTGAAGCAATATTTTTTTTTCTCTTAAATTCAATACAATACATTATTAACAAATTTACATTCTTACAATTAAAAAAAAAGCCAAGACAAAATAAGCAAACTCCGCATTTAAAATAAATCAGATAACGAATTGAATAAAAATTTAGAATATGTTTACTTGAATTATTTGTTTATCCATTTATTCATTTATTCAAAACATTGTTTATTCATTTTATTCAAGTAAATTTATTTGGATATTCTTTCAATGTAATTTGAATACTCAAACTCGTAATGATTGAGTCATGTGATTTTATAATCCCGTGACACCAAAGAATATCATTGCTATTTGGGATTTGAAGATTTGGCAGTGCAATGAAGCATTTGATGTCTTTAGATGGCGTGCACTATAATATAATAATGGTTTAAAAATAATTCTCTGGTATTATTCCTTTAGATTATGAAGAACAAGTTGGAGATGCAACAACATTAATACAAAATATAAATGGTCAAAGAGATGATGTTGATAATTTAATTGATAGATTAAGTTTCAGTTCAGTATTAGCAGCAGAGAAATATATATCAATTGATGATGAGGAGATTAATGAAATGCCATCCAAAAAGGAAATTCTTGAGCAAATTGGAGGGAAAATGTTATTGTGGTAATACAAGTAGTACAACCATTCCTAATGTTCCAATAAATGAAGTTGTAAAAGCTTTTGAAACTGCTTTTAATTTTCTTGAACCAAACAATATGAATTAAAAGCTTTAAAATCATTGAAAAAGAAAATAGAATCATAGTATTCAAAATAATTGATGACTATACAGTAATAGTAATAGTGATAGGTGGGTGGTCCCTTAGATCAGTTGAAACGAGGTTTGACCGTACTTTGGGGGAAAATCCGATCTAGAATACTGGGATTTATTTAAAATCGCATAGGAAATTTTATATATTGGAACAAGCCTCATAATTTTAATATCGCATGTTTTTATTACACAATTAATTAATTCCTTTAAAAAAAAATATCTTACATTGAACCTATACTAATTCTAAAGACAAGTCCTATGTAGACAGCCCACAATAAGGTGTCTTAGGTGCAAGCCCCACTGTCGCAAACGACTCTTGTTGTTTTTCTGTAATATACTTCAAAAGTATATTACAAGCTCTATTTGCATATCTATTAATGGCGGATTTATAAGATGTACAACCAAAGATCTTTGAACGTATCCACAACATCTACATGTTTGCTAGTGTATTTCTCAGTGCAGATGACAACCCTTGAACCAAAGGTACTCGCAGGATTTGTGGAGCAAATATTCGCGAAAACGGTAATTTGACCAGGTCTTGGAATTTTAGAGTAGATTTTTCTAGAACCGCATTTTTAACTATGTCTTATGTTTTAAACTCAGGAAGCCACATAGTGGTTTTCAAAGAACCATCCTGGTAATCTTTGATGACATTCATCCACAAGATTACGAATTTCCTTGTGGATACGGAGTATGCACTGATGGGAGCTTATACTTCCTACGCTTATTTGCTTGGTCATGAATAGAATCCCTTTCACCTCGGATTCTATCATAATGCAAGCACAATTGATATATTCTACCAATACCCCATTCTGTAACCTCACCACTTGAGTTATAGCTTGTCATGAAGGTTTTCACTACTGGATCAAGAGAAATGATGCCAGTGCCTCTATTATTCTCTTCAACCGCTGAAAATCTAGGACCTTGGTTACCAGCATGGTTTGGGAATACATAAATAGGATTCGCCAAGATAATTCAGTGAGACAAAGGTCATTATTTATTTCAGCTATTTCTCACTTGCATCAATATCTTTGAGAAATGAATAATGGTTTCTTCCTCATTCTCTTGATAGAATGAAATTTATTCTTTTTAGATCTGAATTTTTAAAGCAATATAATTTTTAAAAAGTCCATCATTGCTACATCCCTAATGTAATAATAATGCGTCAATTGGTGAAATTTTTTATGAAAATCATTCCTTTTATGGAACACGATTTTTAACTCAAATCTATTTCTTTATTTTTTTTTGTTAAAATGCCTAAACAGAATAAAAAGAAATTAGCATTTACAAAAGCTTGTGAAGCTAAAAAAAATGAAAGAAACTATTAAACCCATTACAGATGAATATATTGATAAGGAGGTGTTTGAAAATGAATCTCAGATTGACACAAACATTTTGAATGAATTAGATGTAAATGAACCTGGATTAG